TTTTTTTAAAATTAATTTTATTGGTACATTTTAGGTATACAATATAATAACATTCATCATTGGAGATTTGTACCTTTACATAATATATCTTGATTCTTATTTTTTCCCCATTCCTCTCCCCTCCTTTCAACCCTTTTACCCCCCCTATTTACAAAGACTTTGTTTCCATTTTTTCATTTTCTCATATTAATTCCATTCCCCTCTTTTTTTCCCCCTACCCCTCCCACTTCCCCTTCCCTTCTGTGGGGTTTCACAAAGTAGAAATTAGCTGAGAGGAAAATAAATTTTTTTTTCCTTTGGTATTTTGAGATAGGGTCTCACTACATAGGTCAGGCAGGTTCTTGAACTCATTATGTAGCCTAGGCAGGCCTCGAATTCATGGCAATCCGCCTGCCTCAGCCTCGCGAGTGCTGGGATTACAAGCATGCCCCATCATGCTGGCTTAAAAAAATAAAATTCATAATCCTGTAAAATACATTCTTCTATGTATAGTTATCTGAATATCAAACTATGTGTTTTTTGACCTTCAAAATCTAGGATTTCCCATCTTGTTTTGAAGGGAACTCAGAATTTGTGTGTACATTCCTACAATTATGTTGGTTTTTTGTTTTGTTTTGTTTTTTGCTCACTATAATCATTGTCAAAGGAGGATGTTTAGAGAAAGAATTAATTCCACATATGTATCAAATTGAAGAACATTCAATTAAAGACTGATTTGATTTTACAAAAACCAACTCATCGATGTCCTATCATTTTTACCTTTACATACTTCAGTATAAATATCTTTAAAATTAGAGACATTGTTATATAAAGATATGGTTTAGGTGGAGGGGTGGCGGGAGGGGAAGGGGAAAGGGAAGAAAGGAAAGGAAAAATTATGTGAAAGAAAAAAAATGGAATCAAACTCTATGTAAATAGGGAAGGGTGGTGGGGGTGAAGGGCGCACAGGTAATGGGGAAAAAAATAAGAACTAAGATACATCATGTTCAGGTACAAACACATAATGATAAATGTAAATGTTTTGTATACCTAAAATGTACCAATTAATATATAAATTTAAAAAAAGATATGGTTTCTAAGGTAAAACATACATTTTGTAGTTTTTTATGTTTCCTAGATATTTTTCAAGAATGTTGACCTTATAATTAAAGGTGTACTTTTGTTTAGTGAATTGTTCAATATTTTAAATATCTTAAAATGTTTAAGTGAATTTAATCATATTTATTAAATGTATTTATTAACATATTAATGTTTTTTTAATTAAATTCTTTTATTGGTACATTGTAGGTATACAACACAATTACATTTCTCATTGGGAATTGTACCTTTACATAATGC